TATAGTATTATGGTATATAATATTATGGTATATAGTATTATGGTATAGTCTCAATTTGTCCGTACATACATATGTAAACTTCTTCTTACCCCACCCATAACTTCTGATCTGCTCAAGATAATTTAATGGAACTTTATACACATTTGTACCCCCACTAGACAGCAGGTTGCGTAATCTTTTCATCATTCCTTGAGTAAGGTAAAGGTCACAAATCAAGATCAAATTTAAAACAAGCTCTTTGCTTGTCTGGGTCATTACTATAGATTGCTGTATGGCTGTCTAATAGTTTGTCGATGGATCTGTAATGTGCCGTTTGCTGTACTCTTGTCTCTTGTAAAGCTCCAGTTGACCAAGGTCAATAAGACCTTAAAGACTTCTTAACTTTACCAGCGCCACACATTGTTGACAGAAGACTGACGTCCTGTTCTTCTCTCACTCACTTATCACAACAACCATGGATACACAATCACACTTGAGGCTATTTTAGAGTCACCAGTGAACGTGTTTTTGGACTGTGGAAGGAAACCGGAGGACCCAGATAAAACTCACACATGCACAGGAAAAATGTGCAACTTCCACACAAAAAGACCCAGCCAAGATTCAAACTGGCAACCTTCTCAGTGTGAGGCAACAGCGCTAACCACACTGGTGACTCCTCGAGTTTCTAAAAGTAGAATTGGAGGCAGAACCTTCAGCTATCAGGTTCCTGTCTTGTGGAACCAGAAGGTTCAGGAGGCCGACATGTCTCCACCTAAAACAGCAGATTCAAAAACAGCTGTATCCACAAACCATTAGGAAACTGAACCGCCCAACTACTGAACACTCACTCAGTACTTCCACTGAGCGCTCTTCTGTTAAACTACTGCTTTGAGTGTAATACTGTTCATAGCATTTCCCCAATTTCTCCCATTAAAAAAAAAATCTTGTATTTTTATTGGTTTTGTGCAACATTGTAGGACTGTCAGTCCAAGAATGTTATTTCAGGACAATCTCTCCATAGTGTCTGAACGCTCATACCTGCAGGTACACTTGTTGACACAACTACAAAGACTCACACGTTTTATCTCTGTGTTTAAAGCCAACGACTACGGGCTGTTTCTGTCAGATGAAGACCCAAAGAAAGGCATCTGGCTGGATGCTGGAAAGGCGCTGGACTACTATATGTTAAGGAATGGGGTGAGTTATACTGAGACTCTAAAATGCTACTAAATGTTGGAAATACTTTTACTTTAAGCACATTAACAGTTATGAATACAAAACACCTGTGTACAAAGAGGAATGACAAAATGTGGCTGGTGTAAAATCTGTGTTGGAATGAAGAGACACATGTTACAATCTAGTATTGATGTTGACTGACACTATTGATGTCGCTGCTCTAAAACTAATCAACCTCTCCTTTCTCTCATAGGACACTTTGGAATACAAGAAAAAGCAAAGGCCTCTGAAGATCCGCATGTTGGACGCGACGGTGAAAACTGTCATGGTGGACGACTCCAAGATTGTCAGCGACATGCTGATGACTATCTGTGCTAGAATAGGTCAGTTTAACTCGCACGTCACCTGAACAACTCTGAAATGTCTTGTGTAAAGCAATAATCCAACTGTTTATCTGAGTACCGTATTTTTCACACTATAAGTCACATTTTTTTGCATAATTTACATGCCTGTGACTTTTATAAGCCAAAACAACATATTTATTAATTTTTTCCCATATTTTATAAACCAAATTTTGGCTGAGACATGACCGTTTTCATTCATTCTGACTGAAAAAAATTGAACACTACCATTTTCAGCCACTAGATGGCACTCGATTACCATAGTAAGGCATGCCGTTGTATCATATAATAGGTAAAAGTGGCTGTTAATGACAAATTAAAAAGTTCAAGACTAAAACAACTGGACTTTATTTATTATACTTTACTTTATTACTTTGTTTTTGTCTTGAACTTTTTTGAATTTACCATGTCCTGGATGACGGAGAATCTTCACCAGCTATTAATGACACAATCGGCTTGCCAAAGGTTGCCAACTTCGTTCTGCTCGCTGCTTGGAGCAACCATCAAACCAGCTGCACCGCCCTGGCGAAATGCAGCTGATTTAAAGTCCTTTTATTAAGTAAAAGTTCAACTGAGACACACCTTTCCAATAAAGTTGAGCAAACAAATAATGGTTTTTAGATGTTTATCTTGTTAAATTTCGAAAAAATGCACAGACTCGTCTCTCTGCGCTTATCTTCTTCCGCGTATTGGCTTTTGAAATGCAGCTGATTTGACTGTCAAAGTGCATTTATTAAGCAAACATTAGACATTAGACTTACTATAAAGTCAAGCAAACAAATAATTGTTTTTAGGTTTTTATCTTGTTAAATTTCGAAGAAATGCACAGCGACTCATCCCTCTGCGTGTGCCTGCTTCTGCGAATTGGGGTTTGAAGTGCAGCTGATTTGACCGTCAAAGTGCATTTATTAAGGAAAAGTTAGACTGAGACACCTTTGCTATAATGTCAAGTAAACAATTTTTTTTAAGTGTTAATCTAGTTAAATTCTTGTTAAAGTCCTCCCATGCACGCTCCCATGGCCGCCATTTGGCAACCAATCAATTTTTGGCACAACACCGGCCCACATTTCCGGGTGGTCAGCGGTGACGCGTAATAGATGCGACGTATACGGCAAAGCGACATATTTATGGATTTTTCCACTTTATTAGACATAGTTGGACTGATGCGACTTATAGGGCGGTGCGAGATGCGACGTATACGGCAAAGCGACATATTTATGGATTTTTCCACTTTATTAGACATAGTTGGACTGATTCAACTTATAGGGCGGTGCGACGTGTACGGCGGAAAATACGGTAGTCCTCGCACTATTCGCACTGTAACATGTATGATAGGACTATAAAGTGTACAATAGATACTTTAATATGCTTAATCTCTGCGTCAGGTATAACGAACTACGATGAGTACTCACTCGTACGAGACATTGGCGAGGAGAAGAAGGAAGAAACCACAGGAACACTGAAAAGAGACAAGACTCTTCTAAGAGATGACAAGAAGATGGAGAAGCTGAAGCAGAAGCTCCACACAGACGATGAGTGTAAGTGGTACATGAGAGCCCTCAGATTATTATCACACGCACTTTTATTTTCTGCGATACTAGAATACATTATAAAACAATAGTCCAAAGCTATGGTTTGAGTTTAAGTGGTTTATGTTTTAAAGCTGAAACCATCAACCCATGTCAAGAATACTAGAAATTCATGACTCCACAAGTGGTTAAATATCTAGCAAGGGAAGTGAGGTTGAAGTATATTATTAATGAATGAAGACACGATGCAATCAGAGGACTTGTTTAATTGCACAGCACTTTGGTTGGCCTTGTTGCTGGTTTCAAGTGCTTTATAAATAAAATGATCTGGTAAGTTGTTTAATGCGAACAACACCTTTTGTTAGTGAACTGGTTGGACCATGGCAGGACGTTGAGGGAGCAGGGTGTGGAGGAGACAGAGATGCTGCTGTTGAGGAGGAAGTTCTTCTACTCGGACCAGAATGTGGACTCCAGAGACCCCGTTCAGCTCAACCTGCTTTATGTTCAGGTAACTTCTCACAACCACCGCCTTTCTAAGGTCTGCTTGACTTTAATAAAATACTTTAAACTTCTTGTTTTTTATGTTTTTCACTGATGTAAAAATCTGCATTATTTCATTAGGCATTCTGCTTAAACTCTTTAGTCACCATGAATTCAGTTGGAACAATTCAGTGTATGTTTTATGAAATAAATTCTTATTTGTTGTGTGTGTGCGGTGGAACAGGCTCGTGATGACATCCTGAACGGATCCCATCCCGTCTCCTTTGACAAGGCGTGTGAGTTCGCCGGTTATCAGTGCCAGATTCAGTTTGGGGATCACAACGAGTCCAAACACAAGCCCGGATTCCTAGAGTAAGCTCCTGGCTTTGAGTTTAACGCCACTTTGTTTCTCGTGGTTACATTTATTATTTTCATCAGACGTTTCAGGATTGAGTTGGCATCTCAAATTGTTTTTTGTTTGATTCTGGATCAATTTTGTCCTTCTTAGTTTAAAAGAGTTCCTGCCTAAAGAATACATCAAGAACAAAGGAGAGAAAAAGATTTTCCAGGTAAATAATAATAAAAAAATAAAAAACAACATTTTAAAATGAAGTCTGAACTAAAATAGTCATTAGAAAAGTTAAATTTATGTAAAGTTTTCCTCATGATGCAGTAAATTGATCTGCTTCTCTGCAGGCACATAAAAACTATCAGAACATGACGGAGATCGAGGCTAAAGTGAGCTACGTGAAGCTGGCCAGGTCCCTGAAAACCTACGGTGTGTCCTTCTTCCTGGTGAAGGTGGGAGGAAACACGTCTTTATCTGAGCCTGTTCTATTTTCCTTTTGTCTGGCTTGCTTATAACAGAAAATTGGAAAAACCCACTAAAGCTCGTAGGGTCTGAGGTGTATGCTGCAAAGCAAGTTCAACATAGCTAAACTTCCTGGAGTCTAGTTGGATACTGTAAAACAAACTCCTCTTAGAGATAACAAGTACCACAATGATGATTCTCATGGCACTTAACAACTAACAAGTTAACAATAAAGAATAAAATATGTTTTTCTTGAGTCTTCATAAGGAACAGCAGGTTGCATTAATGGAAATTGAAGATGGTATAATAATGTTGGAGAAAACCTAGCTTTAAAAATTAAATTAGTAATTTAAAATCTGTTTCTTTTTAAGGTTGGGACAGAAAGATCTGAAATGTTTAACTCAACAAAACAAGAAGCTGTGAAAACAGAAAAGACATGATCTGTTTTTAACCTGAGCACAGGAAACATCGATTTAAACGTCCTCATTGCAGTGAGACTGAAGGAGCTGGATCTCCAACCATCGGAGCACAAACGCTCCACCAGACAAGATGGAGGAGTGTTTGACTGAACAGGCTATTTCTTGGAAGGTTGGCAGAGGAGCAGAGCGACATATATGTGGTTCTAATCTCAAATGGATATTAGAAGAATTTAAATGTCAAGTCATGATCAGCACTCGAGGCTTCCAGTTTGAAAAGAGGAAGTCTGCGAGAAACAAACCAAACAGAAGTTGGTCAAAGCTGGAGGGAAAGATTATACAGTAGTCCCTCGCTACTTTACGGTTCGTTTTTCGCAGACTCGCTCTATCGCGGATTTTCAAAGCAAGAGTGGACATGACACACAAATGGCTGTTTGATGGATGAGCCGCACAATTGGCATGGATTTTTTATTTAAAATAAATTATTTTAAAGTATTTAGCACCTGCTGCACCTGTGTGCAGCCCACAGCTGCAGGAGAAGCTTCCTCCT